CGAAACAGTTTGTCACAGCCCCTCGTTTGTTGTCCTCTTCTCTCTCTCTGCCTACGGTTTACCGGTCAGTTCTATTTGTGACGATATATATATATGCCGGGGCACGTCCTTCTCCTCCTTGCTGCACCTTCAGCTTCCCCAGCTCCATTACTTCTTTTGCAGAAAAATAATTGTGTGGGTAAAGCTGCAGCAGGTCATCTATGAGGAGTGCATCAACTCGACCGTGCAAAGTGGTCGCAGGCGTTCTCCTCCTTGCTGCACCTCCTTCCACTTCCCCACCTCCATCTACTGCACGAAGTTGTTGCAGTTTCAGATTCTGCTATACCCAAAGCATGGGCTGGGATATGGGAAATGTTGCTACATCTCATCTGAGAGGAAGATTACGTCAGACTCAACTCGACGGTTTATTATGCTTTCTCATGCTTTGTGTGTGTTCCTCTGATTGTTTTCTTTCCTTCTTTTGCAGGTCCCTCTGTAACAGGTCATCTAGTAAGTAGTTGAACATTTGTGTTAGCATTCTTATTGTCATGTTGGATGCCTGAGTGGACGCTCGCTCGGTAGTAACGGTGGGTCAGTGGAGTATAGGTGCAATTTAAACGGCGAAGAACTTGCAAGATATGTGCACGTTTACAATCTGACTTGCTTGCGCTGTGAGGGCGAAAGGCTTCAACAGAATCAACACCACATTTGAATGTATGACTGTTGTGTGATGTGTTTGTGAGGCAGGGTGGCAGTACAATTGGGAGGATTGATGTAGGATTGAAGAGTTCTTATTTGATTGGCCGAGCGACGGGTTGTGATATTGTCCTAGACCATGCTTCTGTTTCACGCCAGGTACCTGCCTACCCTTACTGCCTTTGTTTCCTGCTGCACTTGACGCTAACTTCCTTCCTTTCCCCACCTCCCCCTACCCCCCTCCTCTCGCTCGCCCTCGCGTTTGCAAAATGTGGACTACCTGACAGGATGACATTGTTGCTCAGGTCGGTAACCAACATGGATTCGATTGCCGCAAGTTTGTTGCAAGCACGCACTGTGCTTTCTGAGTCGTTGATTGCAATGTAGGTGCCATGTAGGTGCAGACTTTCTTCCCCCGAACATTCTAGCTGCATCTGGCATGAATTTTTTTGGCCCTGTTTTTTCATGCAGGGGTGAAAGGAGGAGCAGGGGGTGGGAAGAGGGGGAAAGGGGTTGGGGGCCAGAAGCAGGGAGAAGTGAGGGGTGCAGGCAGAAGGAGAGAAAAGTGATGGGTGGAGAGCAGAGGATGGGTGGGGAGGGATGGGGAGGGGGAGGGGGATGGGGAGGGGGATGGGGAGGAGGGCGTAGCATTCTGCTGGGATTATGCGAGCATGTGCAGCGGTAGCATTCATTAAAAGTAATAAGAACTCTTTCCCCATCTTTGACAGTGACGGGCTTCTGGGCAGCAGCAGTGGTCTACAGTCTTCCCCCGAATACAACGCACGGTCATTATAGCCGTATTTGAGGCGTATTTTAGTCTAGATACAGCTATAATGACCGTACGTTGTATTCGGGGGAAGACTGTAGAGCTTACCAGATACTCAACCACGGAAGTTAGATGTCCTTCATGCATTTGCCAGGATTCCATCCTGCAGTAGCATGTCATGCCCACGTTGTGGGGTCCTATAATTTGATTGATGTGTGGCCATAAGGCAGTCAATTTTGTGCCTTCTCTTCGCAAACTAGAAGTCGACAGTTGGACGGGTTGAGATGTGGAGGGATCCCCCGCCGAATGTTATGAGATAATGAAATTGTTGTTCTTTCGAAAAAAAGAAAAAGAAAGAAGTCGACAGTTGGCATACCATGTACACATTGTCACATATGCATACATTCATTTTCGCTTTGACCGTCTCCTTCAGCTGCCCTCGTCTAGATCGGTGTGTGGTTAGCGGTAAAAGCAGCTTTGGCCGCCGCAACCCATCATATCTGCCTCCCATAACTGCTGCTTTGGTGTTGACCACCTCTCCCTTTCTTCAGTCTTCCAGTTCGTCTGCCTCCGCTTTGATAAAGCTGCCATGCGGTGAATCACTCTCTGGCATTTCCACATATGGACGAGTGAAGTGATGTGACCTGCCATCTTCGTCTTTTTTGTATCACAACAAGACCATTTATTGCTGATCACCCAGATTGCCGATTTTGTCAAAATAAATGCTGCAGAGGCTTGACAGCACTTCGTTCGTGTCTCTCAACCCTCGTGCTCCCAGTACTTTTGCCTGTGGCTAATGTGCACCTCCCTCTGCATTGTATGGCCTTGCCTGCTGGATGATCTTTTCGATCAGCACCAATAGACCGGAGCAAAAAAAAAAAGGAAAAAAAAAAGAAAAGAAAAAAGGTCTACCAAATTAGACAGCCTCTTTTTGCATCTGAGCAGGCAGAAGGGTGGGTGCGATCGCGAAATGCGATCGTGCTAGTTCAAATTGTGCGCACCCTGAAAGTGAACCCTACTGTCTTCACCTGAATAGAACGCATGGCCATTTGATATGTATTTGGGGCAACTTTCAGTCTATATACAGCAGCAATGACCAGACCTTCTATTCAGGTGAAGAAGATGGTGCAATTTGCAGTGTGTATTGAGATTCTTGCATCTTTTTTCTTTTCTGCCCTGTCTTCACGTTTGAATCTGTTTCTGACCAAGGGCCTCTCGCTCCACTACTCGACACAAATGCACAAAAGACGAAAAATATGGCTGTGTATCTTTCCTTGTTCTAGCAGATGATTCATTCTCATTTTGCTCATTCGGTGAGTAGTGGAGCGAGTCCCCCAAGCCCTCTTCTTGCGAATGGAGGTTCGAAATTGTTCTTCCTTCCTTCCCTCTTATGCTTTACACATCATAAAAAAATGCTATCTCTATCGACACCCGCCTTCTCGCGCTCGAAAGGAGAATCGTGACGAATGAAAAATCAAGCCACCTTCTGGTGTCACCACTCCTCTGTTCAGACACCAACCACTATGCGTGGTATCCTGTTCTGACTGCCCTTTCGCGGTCTTCTAATTTATGTTTTCCTGTTTTAACCACTTTTGTTTTGCTATCTGTCGTTTGTGTCTGGTGTGTCAGCATGCGCTACTCGTGCATCATCACACCGGGAAGATGATGATCAAGGACCTCGGGTCAGCTCATGGCACTGTGGTAGATGGGCAGCGCTTACGGACCGGGACGTGGCTGGAACTTTGCGAGGGTAGCGTTGTACGGTTCGGTGCGAGCACAAAGAGTTATGTTGCCCGAGGCAGGGATCTGAGTCATTTCTTGTTGTGAAGAAGTGCATGGATCGGACTGACTTCTTGTGAAAAGTGCATAGAACTCCATCTCTCTTGGAACGATGATTTGATTGTCGTGTTGGGGTCCTCTGTGTATGAAGAGGTATTTGTTTTGCTGATGTGAATGACCCAAGTGGATTTTTTTTTTGCAAGCAGATTTTATGAATAGATTGCCGGAGGGACACATATGGGTTACGCTCAACTTTACGGTTAGAACGTAGAAGAGGAAGAAAGGAATGCCGTGGGAGCGTTTTTTTTTTTTTTTTTTTTTTTTTTTCCGTTGGTAGTGGAGTTATCCTTTTCATTATGTCAAGGGGGGGCAAAGGGGGTACGTGCGTAAACAGGTGAAAGGGGAGAGAAGGGGAGCCGGTTCGACACTCGTTGAGCTGAGCTGAATTGCTGCGACCGGTGGGCTAACTGCGAGTAAATGCCGACCAGTTCTAACTCTATATACAATATGTGTTGTCAGTTTTGTCCTTTTCCCTTGTAAGAGTATGAGGTAAGGGTATGTGTTGCTGAAGGGAGGGGGAGGGGGGGGAGGGGGTTCATTTTCTGGGCGATGCGACACCACCCTCTTGATTCCTGTGGGGGAGGGGGCTCATTTTCTGGGCGATGCGACACCACCCTCTTGATTCCTGTGGCCTTGAGTGTTGTTGAGGGAACCACAAGGGTGTGCGAGTCGTGTGACCGAAGTGCTCTTTCGTCGTGGTTGTTTTGGGGTGTTTCTGTTGTTGGGCGGGCAAAGCAAGTGTAAGGTTGTAGGGACGGCAGTACATGTGGATGCACTATGAGCTGGTTCATCGGTATTGGATGCCAGGAGGACAGCTGGCCAATGCAATTAATAATAATAATGTATACGCATCATGCTTCTAGCAAAGTGGGAAGCCATGGCGGTGATGTTTGTGTGCTATATAAACCGTCCCAAGCGACCAGCCACCAGCCAGGCAAGTGGTATCTCCTCATTGTCCGTTCTCGGGGGTGAGGTGTTCTCGGTGTTGCTTCTGCTGCTGTCATGGTGTTTATGTGAGAGTCCGCCTCCCAACTGGCTACTGTTGAGGCAAGTTCGGTGTGTGTCGTCGGTTCCGGGTCCGTGTCCTCTATGCGTCTGCTTTTGTCCGACTCGTTGCAATGGCCAGACTCATGCTTTTCTGTTGGCATCCTTTGAGTGACGTTCGCGTCGAACAAGGATTGTTGAGCCACCAGCCAGGCAAGCGGCATCTCGTTTGTCGGTTTGTCGGGGTGTTTCTGTTGGCATCCTTTGAGTGACGTTCGCGTCGAACAAGGATTGTTGAGCCACCGGCCAGGCAAGCGGCATCTTGTTTGTCGGTTTGTCGGGGGTGTTTATGCGAGAGTTCGCCTGCAACTGCCGCCCTGTTGAGGCAAGTTCTGTGTGGCACTGCATCGTCTGTTCTGGGTCTGTGTCCTCTTTGCATCTGCTTTTCTTTGACTCATGGCGGTTGCAAGACTCATGCTTTTCTGTGTGCATCCTTTGAGTGGCGTTTGTCTCGGGCAAGGATGGTTGAGCGAAGCTGGTTCGCTTTGTCTGTCGTTGGTCTATAGTCTTGTTGCGCCTGATTGTGTCCAACTCTAACAGATGGCACAGCTGGTGTCTGTGCGCCAGCGTGCTCAGGGACGTACAAGGTGATAGGGGACCACCATGTTTGGCTGCGATCGCCTGCTTCCGTCGAGGATTCGAACTCGTGATCTCAGCGATACAGAGAAGATCAAGTAGGTTGACCACCATGTTCGTCTGCCGTCGTCTGTTTTCTTTTCTCTTTTCTTCTTTTTAATAAGGCGGTAGTCCTTGACCTTATTTCGTTCATCTGCTTCCTTCAAGGATTCAAACTCGAGATCTGTTTACTAGTAGTTGCATCTTGTGTGTGGCGCCATTCCGGCCACATCGTCTTGGTTGATCAATTGTGTTCTTGTTGCTTCTGCTGGTGTTTGGTGCTTTTTGACGGTGGAGTCGTGCCTTTGTGCTGAAATCGTTTAGGACCTTCATGGCAAACACAACAGGGATACGGAGAAAATCAACTAGCATGGCCTTTAAAACCACCACGACCTCCGAGCCTTTTTTTGCCGGCCCTGAATTTGCCTGGCGCGCCAGATCAAGAAATAGACCAGGTAATGTGTGTTTCCTCTGGCTGTTGACGCTGCTAGAGAACAGAGCTCGGAGGTAGTGGTGGTTGACCATGGAGCTAGGTAGACAGGCGGAAGGGAAAGCAAAACTCTCTTTTTTTCTGGATGAGTTGACAATGTGCAATGCCTGTTTGGAAAGGTAGAAACGATGGAAAAGCCTGTGGTTTTGGTACTTCGAGGAGCGCCGAATTTGTAGTTGTGCTCCAAATTCCCACCTTGGTTTGCAATCGGGCCCCTCTGCCCCCTCGTCAATTCAGGGATTGCTGCGCCAAGCAAGGAACGAGGTAAGTGAACTGCTGGAATGACTTCAGATCGCGCGACGGCCTTATGTTTTCACCGTAATTGTGCCCAGAGCATCGAATTGGTTGTTGTGTGTTCCGATTCCACTTGCCAAGGTCACTGAGCCCGAGAAATCCCCCTCCACACCCCCCTCCTCGTCACTAGCCTCTCAACAGCATATCCTTTACGAATCGTTAGCAATCCCCCCCCCCCCCCCCCCCCCCCTTGCCCCCCACCCACCCCCGTCCCTCCTGACTACCGAAGGTCGTGCCAACAGATTGTTGAATGTCCGAGGCATCAGCTTGGTTAGCTGGGTAACTGGGACACAGTTCAAGGGTTAATTGTTTTCTCTGTAATCCCTCCTGAAGATATAACGTGCGCACTATGTTTTCTCGACCTCAAGGGATGACTGTTTTGCTATAATCTTTCCTTAGATAGCATGTGCACTATGTTTTCTCCGTTTGTCACGCTTAGTGTTGCTGATCTTCTTTAATGAATGCGAGCGAATACGTTTATTTCCGTTTCTCCGTTTGTTCTTTTATGAAGCGAACCTGGGTTCAGTAGATTGCAAGGGTCTGTGTTCTCTGTTTTTTCTGCTTCCAGAGCCTTTCTTTTTCTTTCTTTCAGAGGGTTTTTTGCTTTACTTACTTTCAGAAGAAAGCAATCCATTTGTGAATCATAAGAGGGGCACCAGTCAAGGCAACTTCGTTGCGAGTTCGAAAACAAAAGACCAAATCGTAAAGACTCAGGATCCAACACCATAATAAGAGACTTCCTTCGTGATTCGACCAAGTTCCAGAAACTTTATAAAACGACGGGCACATTCACTTTTAATTCTCTCTTTTTTGTTTCTACAGTTCCGTCCTTGTTCTGGAGAACTCTTGTGTGCTGTCTGAAGCAATACGAGGTCGAGTCTTGGGCAGGTCTGTCCTCCTTGTTCGTTTGTTACTTTTAAGGAATCGTCCTTCATCAGGTTGGGTGGGCCCGAGGGCAATTTTTTTTTCCCCCTTTTACATCATCGTCTTTGTTTTGGGAGAGTTTTCATCAAGCATACAAGTTGGATCCTCTTGCTCCTGTGGTCCTGATGAGTTTCCCGGTTCCTTTCTACATCAGTCATCCATTTTCTGGCTTGTGAAATCCGTCGTCGATATCGTGTTTATGTGTGTGTGTGTATATATATATATGTTTGTGATGGGGTGTGAATGGACAGTCTGTAGAGTTTTCCATCTGGTGTGGGCGAGTGATAGTCTGCTTTGATTTTCGTTACGGGTACCTTGAGGGCAGAGGTTGGTGCCCACCTCAAGGTATCAGTTGTCGGCCAGTCGTTGATGCCTAACCACAACCAAGGTTAAGGTGGATTATCACTTACAGTGTAATCAGTTAGGGAATTCTGCAGAAAGGCACGATCGAGATAGGGTGTATATATCGTCAAACGGAGCTGCCCCGTAAACCGCAGGCAGAGAGGGAGAAGAGGACAACAAACGAGGGTCTGTGACGAACTGTTTCGTCGGAGTTTCACCGACTCATCAGGAGGCTGAATTTGTATATATATGTTTGTGACGATATATGTGAGTGTGTGTATGTGTGTGTGTGTGTGTGTGTGTGTGTGTGTGTGTGTGTGTGTGTGTGTGTGTGTGTGTGT